ATGCAGTCTTTCCTCATACCATAAAAATGGCAATGTGGTGTAGATTAGTTCCTAATAATGCTATATCACTCAATAATATCAAATACATATCGTAATTTAGTAATACCCAACGCAAAACAACACCAGTCGCAGTAATCAATAGTAGGCCAAAATGAAGAAGAATACAAACAAAAGAATTCTAGTGCAAATGCAAATACAAACAAAAGAATTCTGGCGCAAATGCAATTGTCGAAACGATCGCAAGCGAGTGATGGAATATAAGTAGAAGAGGAGCGTCTGGGTCAAAGCACTGCACTGGTGGCGCGCAACCTGTCGTGTGGCGACGGTCGAGGAGGACGGGCGTGGTACATCTGCATTTGTATGTATTTTTATATTGTGTGTCGATGTCTGGAAGTGTGTGTATGTGTGTACATACAATGTGTGTGTGTATATAGATAGATAGATAAATATGTGTAGAGATAAGTAGATATATATCCATGCATATATTCAATAATTTTTATTAGTAACACAATTTACTCTAATGATTTGGGTTGTTTTCAACATACTATTATTAGCAAAGAACCGTCCCGGAAATTACCTACCCTGCTTTACTTAATTTCATCATAAATAATGTCAGTTGGAGATAACATGTAATGTTTTTGCATGATATAGAGTATATAATTGCGCTTCGTCTCATATATCATTTCAAAAAATTCTTTTTCTTTACTTAGTCTTCAGAACGTATTTTTTTTCTTGGTTTACCCTCAAAATATTCTTGTGGGATATCAATCCTATGCTAAGGTTAAGTAGATAGCCGATTTATAAATTTGATTTTAAAAAATCTCATTTTGGTATTTTTTTAAGTTTCAAGTTTAAGCTAACTACATGGCCTTAGGACTCCGATGCTCTAACGAAAGCTACAAACCGCGTTTAAATTGAACAAAAATTACCGAAGCATGTGTAAGAAAAAAATACCGAGAAAACCTGTTGCGAATTTAGACGCTTGCCAAAGTTCGTTATCTGTTATTTTTCGCTGAATCTAAAGATGTTATATATATATATATATATATATATATATATATATATATATATATATATATATATATATGTATATATATATATATATATATATATATATATATATATATATATATATATATATTTCTTATGTCGGATATAAAAGTAGATTTTTTGTCTGAAAAGTTTGGTAAATGCATTAAAATTACTACTAGTCTCACCAAGATTTTTTTTTCTTTTTAATCCGATTTTGAAGAAATGAGAACTGTGGATGGCAATATCAGTACAAAATCATTCAAGTTAGCATGGATACAACGTAGCGGTTCAATTTTTGAAAATCATCGAAGCATATGTATGAAGTACATACAAGTCGAGAATTACCAATTTTGATTTTTTCCATACTCCAGACTGGGTGGGGAGTGGGGGGGGGGAGATGGTCACTAGGTGGTTTTAATATTCGAGGAAGATGATATATGTATGTAAACACACGTACATAAAGTTAACCATTTTAATCGGCCTCATTTAGTAGGCCTACATCGACTCTTTATGTAAAGGAATAAAATATAATAATTATCTTTATCGATGAACCGTATTCATTAGACAAATGTGGAAAGGTATGAAGAGAACGAATATCTTTTGTATTGTGAAGATATTCGTTCTCATTCATACCTTTCCACATTTATCTTTATCAAACCGTTTTCTTTCTTAACAATTTTCAAAGGTAACCGTTTCAACAGGAAACGAGTGTATAGTTGGTGTTTAGTCATTTGCACCCTGTTATCTTTGCTAAGAAGTACAAAAAATCGTCAAACGCCTAGGTATGGTTGCATATCGAGTACTTTTGCCACTAAAATCCTACGGTAATGTCTACAAGTCATATTATTAATTATTATCATTATTTTATCGGACACGCATGGAAAGGATGCGATAGCTATTTCAACCTTAGACGAAGACTCCGCATAAGAACGAGTTCAGAATTCCA